CAAACCTCCACAAAACCATTCAGCAGCAACTGCCAGGGTGAATTCCCACATGATCCACAAACACATTTCAAGAGGGGAAGGTGGGGAATTACCCAGCCTCCTTATGCCAGGCACCAGGTCCACGAAGGTGGCAGCCCCGTTGCTGAGCACGCTGGTGCTGCGGAAGCGGAACTGGTGGCCCAGGGTGAGCAGGTGGTGGGCGATGTACATGCAGTTGTTGTGGTGGATGGCAGCCAGCTGGGGCAGCTTCTGCAGGTTCTCCCTGGCCCAGCAAGAAGGGAAAAGGAAGAAATAGGTTTATTTAGAGCTGGTTCTGTTAAAAAAAGTGGTCGTGTCTATCCTAGAGAAACGCACGATCTGTCAGCAGATGGTGCTGGCAAGGCCTGGCTGACATCAGAGTAAAAACATTTGACCTCTCACATCCTCACAGGAACTGGCAGGAAAAGAGTCTGAAATGCCATTTGAACCCTGTGTTACCCTGTTGCACTATATTAGGAACGTGAAACAGTACAACACAGGCTCTCTATCCGAGTGTCACAAGAGAGCAAGTTTTATTATTCCACATCTTCTTTTACAGACAGCTCCGAGAAGGTCTGAGAGGTAAAACTCTCATTGGTCATTAAACCAACACACCACTACTACTGGGCAATTAAAAACTACACCCCTTGACTATTTCTTGCAAGAAAACAACAGGGATCCAAACAGCACCTGCAGAGGTTGTCCTTCTCCAAAGACTGCTTGGATTCCTCCCTAAAATTCCTCAGGCCACACTTCTTCAGGACAGTCTGAGAAAGTTATGTGACTTGGTTTCACACAGGCTCTGTACTCCCTGCTTTCTTTCAGCATCCATATTATCCCACACTGTTTCCAGCCATGGACTTTCAAACAGGAGTAAATTTATTAGAGCAAAGTTCCATCTTCATTGCTGTTCTTTTTTTTCACAGGAAAAACATCATGAAAAACCTGTGCATCAGATCTGAGGTCAAAGCTACATGGCTGGAAACAAACACAGCTGTGTGAGAACTTCACCCAGACCCTTGATGAGAAGACTGACAACACAGAAACTCTCAAGCACCTGCTTTGCACAGGTATGGTTCAATGAGAGATTGAACAGTTGATTTTTGCTGCTGGAGTCCCACTTGTAGTGGACAGCTGGGACTGTTGCAACAGGAGTATTGCCCCTCAGAACAGCCAGTATGGACACACTCACCTGTGGTACGTGGGCACCACCTCGTAGAAGAGCTGGAAGATGTTCCTGACACAGTCGAAGAGCTGCACACAGCTACAAGGGAAGGAGGGCTCATGTCAGCCTGGCATTAATGTCCTGTTCACAGCTGACCCTCAACCTGCCCCACAACAAGGTTTTTTGAGCAGAAGCACTGGCACAAAGAGGGGATTGTCAGGATCAATAACAGCACTGTCAACACTCTGGAAAACTCACAAAGGCTGTGGTGACCTTGAGGTTCGGTGTGGAAGGGAGACACGTGAAAGCCCAGAACAAAGGGGACACTGTCCCTGCCCCTCCAGGTGTGCAGGAACACTCAGCCCTCTCTCTGCCCCTTGAGGGCAGCTGTTACCTGGGCAACTCTCCTGCTTCAGGGCTGTGGTCTGTGCTTGTTGAAGTTAAGTTTGTGTGGATTCTGTTTGTTTTTCCCCAAGAGCCCTGCCAACTGCAGGGCTGGAGCTCCCTGCTTTCACTGGCACAAAGTCAGCAAGAACTCTGCTCACAGTGAGGCCAGCACTTGGTTTTGGGAAAAGGAGATGGCTTTGATTTTTCTAAACAACTGACTTTTCTAAAAACCTGAACTCCAAGGGCTGCTGAACCTGAAGGACCAGCCTGCAGCAGTGTCAGTCTCCTGCCCAAACCCAAGGATACATCCTCCAGCCAAAACAAGACTAACAACTCAGTCTAATTTTTTGGCCTTTTCTATCCTTTAAAGTTCTTTAAATCTATTACCAGATGTTTGGTGTTGCTAGAGGCTGACACACAAGTTATAAATAAATAAATCAATATTGATTTGATAAATAATGATAACTAATGATAATGCCAAATAATTCCTACCAGAGATCCGTGCTGGCTGTGGCCTCCAGCAGGGTGTGATAGGCCAGCTCCACCAGCTGCTGCACCGAGGAGCTGATGCGGCAGGTGGGCAGGCACAGGGTGAACGGGCTCAGCCTGCTCTCACTCCCCAGATTCACTGTCCCACTCTGCAGGAGACTGGAGGGTCTCTGCATTTTTAGGTGGTCTCCTGAGCCAGGATCAGGGAGCTCTGG